ACTATCTTGCGGTTGCACAGCCCCAGTTTGACTGGGACCGAAAAATGGTCAAACACACTTTGCCCAACGGGGGGATTGTCAGATTACGTAAGTTCAAAGCTAGTAGTCTGATTGAGTCCTACGGGTGCATGTGTGGGGCCGCTTTCTATAATTATTATAAGCAAAATCCGGAGGAGGTTATGTACCTAGTCTATGTCTCTGTTGAGGGTGAGCCGGTGAAAACACCACCAGAAATAGAGGGAGTTGTCGCTAAGTACCCTGATCTATTTGAAGAGCCGAAAGGGGTTGTTGAGAGGGAGGTCGTCCAGGCTATAGAGAGTATCCCAGGGTCTAGTATCCTGAAGGGTAGGATCTATAGGATGTCTCCAGGCGAGCTTGATGAGCTTCGCCGCCAACTCAAGGAACTCATGGAGAAGGGTTGGATCCGGCCAAGTGTCTCTTCTTACGGATCTCCAATTCTATTCGTACCAAAGAAGGGAGGCACTTTGAGGATGTGCATTGACTATAGGGGTCTCAATGCCATCACAGTAAAGAACGTAGAGCCCCTACCGCACATCAATGATTTGTTGGACCGAGTGCAAGGGTGCCGGGACTTCAGCAAGATAAATCTGAAGTCCGGGTACCATCAAATTGCAATCCGGCCTGAGGATCAACACAAAACCGCATTTCAGACAAAGTACGGTCTGTACGAGTTTGTGGTGATGCCTTTTGGCCTATGCAATGCTCCTGACACCTTTCAGCACGCCATGAATCCGATCTTTCATGACTACTTGGATAAGTTTGTCATCATGTACCTCGATGACATACTCATCTTTAGTAGAACTCTCGAGGAGCACGTAGCTCATGTAGACAAAGTCTTGAACCTCCTCAGAGAACACAAGTTCAAGATGAACGGGGGAAAATGCGAGTTTGGCCGCACCCGTATCTTGTATTTGGGTCATGAGATTTCTGCGGAGGGATTGAAGCCCGATGACGCGAAGGTGGCCATCATTCGTGACTGGTGTCCTCAGTCTGTGACTGAGATGAGGTCTTTCTTAGGAATAGCCGGCTACTATCGCAATTTCGTTCAGAACTATAGCATAGTGGCCGCACCTTTGACTGACCTGACCCACCTTGACACCCTATGGGAGTGGACAGATCGGTGTGAGACTGCTTTCAGGCATCTGAAGCATGCGTTGACACACCATGAGGTCTTGAAACTACCCGATCCTTACAAGCCTTTTATAGTTACCACCAATGCTAGCCAATATGGCATTGGTGCTGTACTTGCGCAACAGGAGGGGAAGAAGTTGAGGCCCGTAGAATACATGTCAAAAAAGATGCCCTCTCAGAAGTTGGCCAAGTCCACTTATGAGAAGGAGCTCTACGCGATCTACAAAGCGCTGTCACATTGGAGACATTACCTCCTTGGTTGCTTCTTCTATGTCAGGACTGATCATCAGAACCTGAGATGGATGAAGACTCAACCTGTGTTGTCCGATGCTCTCAAGCGTTGGATCGAAGTCATAGAGCAGTATGACTTCGAACCCTAGTACATCAAGGGGGAGTACAACAAGGTTGCAGATGCGCTGTCACGTAGGCCGGATTTTTCCAGTGCGCTGATCACTGAGTTTGGGCTTGAGGACGGTGTTACTCAGTCTTTGGCGGAAGCCTATCGAGAGGATCAGTTTATGTTTAAAATCATCCGCAGACTCGAAGCGAAGGACAAGGTGACCTTTGCCGAGTTTGAGATGGTCAATGGATTGCTGTTCCTTGAGAAGGAAGGGAATAAGTGATTGTGTGTCCCCAATAGAGAGTCTTTGCGTAGTTTAGGGGAGTGTCATGATGCCACCGACCACTTTGGTTTCAAAAAGACAGCAGCAAACTTGCTGCAGTGGTTCTGGTGGCCCTCGATGATGAGAGACGCCAAGCTGTACGTGGAGACCTGTCAGGTCTGTCAGCGGGACAAGCCAAGTACCCAGGCCCCTCTTGGGCCTCTCAAGCCCCTTCCGATCCCGGAAAGGCCTGATGAGAGCCTGCCCATGGACTTCATGGATATGCTGGTCACCAGCAAGAGTGGAATGTGTTATGTCTACGTCATTGTGGATAGGTTTAGTAAGTATGCTAGGTTAGTAGCAATGCCCGCTACAGCGAAGACTGAGTACGTCATCAAGATGTTCAAAGAGAACTGGGTTAGGGATTTGAGACTGCCAAAGTCTATCGTTAGTGACCATGACGTGCGATTCACTAGTGAACTGTGGAAAGCCGCAGCTGCAGAACAGGGAACGCGCCTGCAGATGACATCAGGGAACCATCCCGAGGCGAATGGTCAAGCAGAACAGTTGAACCGAGCTGTACAACACCTGCTATGGCACTACATTAAGCCAAATCAGGTGGACTGGGATGATAAACTTGCTCTCATCTCCAGCATGTACAACAACGCTGTACACAGCGCAACGGGTGTGAGCCCGAACAGTCTGCTTCTGACATTCAAGCCTAGATTCCCTTAGATTTCCTACTGCCTGACAACCAGCCTTCTGCTGCACCAGGAACACTAGAGTTCGCCTATCGGTATGAGCAGCTGATGCAGCAGGCTGTGGAACAGATGCACAAGGCACAGACAGCGATGATAGAATCTGAGAACAAACACCGCCGTCCATCCACATTTCAGGTACGAGAGAGAGTCTGGGTTAAGTCCTCAGAACTGGGACAGGAGCACGGGATCTCCCACAAGCTCATGCCGCTGGACCATGGGAGGTCCTAGATGTAGTCGCGGAAGAACCAGATGGGCCGTCATATGTTATTTGCATCCCGGGTCACTTACGCATTTACCCTGTTTTCCATGCCTCCAAGCTTGCACCTTTCCGGGAGACAGATCAGTTTCCTTCGTGACGCTCGATGCTGCCCCAAACCATGAATGGAGAGGTCGACATCGATGACATCGTTGACCACAGGGAGATGCCGGTCCCAAGACCCACAGGCAGGGGACGCCCTCCTAAACCGAAGCTGAAATACAAAGTTCGGTTCAGACATCGCACAGATCCAAAGGAGGACCGGTGGTTCACCAGGGAGGAACTCATGCAGACCGCTCCTCAAGTCATCTCACAATATGAGAAGTCACTACAGAAAGGAAAGCGCCAGATTATCGAAGATTGAACGTCTCAGAGGACTGTCGAAGTATGGAGGAGGGAATGCGAGGCTAATGCCCCGATGAGCCCCTTGTCGGGCCCTTTTTGCAGCACCGTCGGCAGCCCTAAGTGAAGGCAGGCTCGACAGGCCCTTCGGGCCTCATTTTCAGGCCACCCCGCAACTGGGGAAATTCAGGCAGTTGCGCGGCGTCAGTTGGTTGTAGGCGCCCAGGCCCAGGCGACCATTTTGCAAATGTATCTGAGGTGCGCCCTGGGCCAGACGCATATACAGGCCGAACACAGGCCGCGGGCAGTTGGGCACGAGCAACTAACCCAGGCCGAGGGCCTGCACAGAAGCAACCCGGGCCTGGACCAGAGAGGGCCTACCGGAAGCTTCCGGGTAGGGGCCCAGCGCAGGCCAAGCAGCAGCAGAGGCCGGGCACTTTCCATATAGGAAAGGCTGGCTCCCTCATTCGGCATTCGGGTGCTGGCTGCACATTGCGCAAGCACTGCTGCGCTGCATGCTGGCCAGCGCTCACGGGCGAGCGGGGTCTTGAGCAGGCAGCCATAGCCAAGCTGCGCTGCTGTAGCTGGGTAGGCGCATGGTGGTCCTTGGGTGCACGTGGCATACTGTGTGTTGGGGATCGAGGTTGTGAGTGATGCGGGAGACATACCTGGTGCTTGAAGCGTTCGGCATTGGTCGATATCTGCTCGTACTTTGGGAAAGCTGTTGTCGTCAACATTGGCATTGTAGCTGTAGACTAGATAGGATCTGCCACTCGTAGTCTGGGCGCCGGGCGCCAGATAGGAGTTCGACATTGGTTCTTGGTTGATGATGATGATGAGACTATATCAGCATTGTCACTTTTGAGCTCATGCTGTGTTCTTATTTGGTGAAACTCGTGATGCAATTCTGCTTTTGGTTCGAGGTCAAGACATTCTGGACTCATGTGTATGATGCTTATTGGTTGCTGAAGTTCGTTATCGCTCATTTTCCTTGCAGTACGCCTTTTGGTAATCAAAAAAGAAGAAGAAAATGACTTTAAACTTTAAAGGAGTCTGCGAGTTTGAATTCCCCACTATAGTAACCCTATAAAATAATAGACAATGAAATTATGAAAGATAAATTGTCAGCCGAACTCGGCCCTTAGAAAAAAAAGCAGGAGTGGCAGTCGGAGCCAAAATGACTTGCCAGTATGCCACTGTAAAACTCTATGGAATCATGCCAATAAGATTACAAAAAAAAAAAACAAAAAAAACTTCAAAAAAGAAATAAGTTACAAAAGATGAAATGGGGAAAAATAAATAAATAAATAAAAAATTCAAGTTTCAACCACTGTTCAAGTGGTGGTATGCCACTTATTTCTCCATTCATTAAATTTGACTTTGAGAATTTTTTTACCAAAAAAAAAAAAAAAAAAAAACAGTAAAAAGGTTATTAAAATTAAAACAAGTTTAAAGTTTAAACCACCTCATACAACTCCGATAATTCAAACGGGACGAGCACCTTTGTAACTATGGTAATTCAACTGCGTCATGCACTTTGACTTTCACTATTTTTATTCCTTACGCCTCATCAGTATGGCACAGGCGTACCTTAGTTGGTACACACATGAACTGTTGAAATACAGGCCAGAGTTCGAATCGTGGGGGACCTTGATGAATCGAATTTGAAAAAAAAAAAAAAACAGTACGTCAAAATTCCACAAGAACCCCTTGTAACTATGGGCATTCCACTGAACGCCCTGTCTACGGTGGGGGGTAATGCATCCCAGCCAAGAACCTCGAAGCCCTGGTGGTACGGAGATGTCACGGTAGCTATGGCTTATTTCAGATGGTGTTGGGCGGAGAGTCCAACTAGTGGCAGCTGCGTTGTTCTTCAGTCTTTTTTGTGCCACTGGTCAATGTTCATTGTTATTGTCACCGCACCTGAATGGTCACAAGCGCTCAGAAGTTGGTCTTGCTACACCACAGGTAGGCCAAGTTAGCTGAGCTAAGCTGCATTAGCCAAGCTAAGCTGCATTAGCCAAGCTAAGCTACATTAGTCGAGCTAAGCTACATTAGTCGAGCTATGTTATGCTATGCTAAGGTATGCTAAGAAGGACCTGAAAAATATGCTGCAGCAAACACTACCATGTCAAGGGAGAGGAAGGGTGGAGTGGTATAGGGAGGGTAGAGCAGGCAGGTGGTTCTCTTATGGCATACTTTCCGATATCCAGGAGTTGACGAGGTGATGGAAGTTAAAGAACACAGGAAGCAAGGGCATTTAGAGGCCATTTTTGCACGCCAAGGCACATGGCATTGCGGGATTTTCAGTCCGACAGAGACAAAATGAGCATGCGTTTCTTGCAACATTATCTGCGTACGGATTCTGGAAACATACAAATGTCATACCATGTACCCAGTCACTGGGGCCTCCGGGGGAGCAATCCTCAGGCCTTGACTCAGAATACCCACATAATTTGTTGTCCGAGAACCTGATCACAGAGAACACACAGAAATTTCTCCGAGTTAGCCCTCTCACCCAACTCGCTGTGAAAAGTAAGGCCCCTCCCCCATGCAGTGTGCTATCAACCAACCTCTCAGACTGCTTTCAAGACTGTTCTCCATTTAATTCAACAGTTTCATTCTCCGTTGAACTTCACGGCGTTCAGTGAAATTTCGAGTAGCCGCACACATGCTGGAGCGCATCCACACCATCCAAAATGAACAGGCAGAGTCCTTTGAAAGACAGGCAGCTTCCCCCCCCCAAAAAAAGCCCCAAACAAGCAAAACCGGACAGTCCGGACAGTCCGAGGCTTTGTTGTCGATCGAGCATACCGTGCCACAGAGGCATCTTGTTATGAAGCTGATCTCCAAATGGCGCGTACTTGTCGCCTTCGCCTGAGGCTCTCTGTCCACTCTAAAGACATCCAACAGCTCAAGATCCCACGCCTGCATCAACAAATGTCCAGTCCACACAGAATGAAACGGCATGAGAACGGCGAGCGGCAAACGGCAAGTGATGAAAGAACGGAAGCCGGCGATGGAAAATGTCGCGGCCAATGATTCTATCTTTGCGTTCCCACTCTGCAAGGCTGCAACAACAGATCTGCAGTCCACACGCAACGAAAAGACTTCAGAACAGCAATCGGCCAACAGCCATTGACAAACAAATGGATGGCGATCGAAAATGGCTTCTAGAATCTAGGTTACCAGGGGCAGGCAGGCGCCCGGCCGTACGGCCGCCTGGAGAACCCCGAGCATGTAAGAACTCCCACGGATTTTTTTTATTTTTTTTTCCCCTCGCTGGTGGGGCTTTTCGCCAACCCACTGAAAGCAGCACAGATCCGGGCTCTGTATTGTTCTGCAGAGTTGGTTGTCATTCCCTACTCATCCTCTTCTCACTCCTCAATGGATAACATCAGTTTTTAAACTTTTTTTTTGTTTTGCACAGAGGTTGCCTCCTCCTTGTACAGCCTGCTGCTTGGGATGAGTACAGATATAATGTATCATCTCTGTAATAAGAGTTTGTATACAGGAAGAGATAAGCATCGACAGTCAGCGCCATGCAGCAATAACAAAAGGATATCGTAGGTAGTATTCTTTAATGCAACCGGCCAAGACTGGCCCCGTCTTTTTTCTTGGTTCGGATGGCTCTATCATCCCCAAATCCCGTGAGATTATCTCTTGTTGCATTAAAGATATAATTATAGTATTATTATATATTATACCCATCGAGGCTTGTATGCACGTGTGCTGTCCACGTGTCTATTGTGCAGAAGTGTTTGTGCCAAGTTCGATTGGCTGCTCGTTAGGAATCCGTCAGTGAGGAGAACCTGATGGCACTGAATGTGGTCGTCATTGCAGCCAGAGACATTGCATAAAACTCCAAAAGAGAGAGTATACCCTTAGTTGTCGTATTCGTCGATTTTGCTGCAGATCAGTGAATTGGCCTGAAATGGCACCAGAGCAGTGACCCTCGTCGGTTGCCTCAGCAATACAGTGGGGACTTGGGAGAGAAAAAAGATCAGGTGGAGGGTCACGAGTCAGTGATGACAGAGATTATGTGATGTGCCTTTTTTCTTTTCCAACTAAGAAATAATGCAAATGGAACGGTGCCAGTGCCAAAAGGACCTGTTTTTTTTTTTGTTTTTTTGTTTTTTTGTTTTTTTGTTTTTTTGTTTTTTTGTTTTTTTGTTTCTTAAGACATAAACAATGCACGTAAGAAAAGCCATACCTTGTGGGTTGGTGCATGAGTGTTCTTCAGGTACTTCTTGATGAGATTGAACTCCGGACCATCTTGCGGCAATGGGACAATCGGGCACTTGAGTTTCTTGTAATTTGTGTCCAGGGCATCTTCGCCTTCATCACCCTCCTCGGAGACGAGCTTCGCCGCAATTTCGATATCCCGCAGCGCCTCAAGCATCATGATCTCTTGTTTTGACATGTTAATATTTTCACAGATCGAAGGCCACAAGACGATTCGCGCAAGGCAGACGCACGCGTCAGAAAGATTGCGAACATATGTGCAACTGTGCCCTTTAGATCAGACCAACTCATCAAATTCGTGCAAGACAAATTCGGGATTTCCAATCAATTGAGAAGCAGTCCAAAACAAAGGCCTGAGACTGTCGTTCCAAGCCGCCTCCACGATGTCTGTTTCAGCCCCCAAACTCCGCGCACGATGTCTGTTTCAGCCCATCAAACTCCGATCACGCACTGCAGGCCTGGCTGCCCTACCATGCTGATGACGTACGAGCACCGCCCCTGCCCAATCGTCCAAAACGCAGCAGGACATATAAGGCCTCACTCCACTACTCACCAAATGTGCCAAATGAGACTGAAACTTCTGCTAGAGCATGGGGAGATACACCACCATATGTTTTTGTCTTTTGTGCATGTGGAGAGTAGTGAAGCGAGGCCCATACATGGAAGCACTAGAAGCCTAGTAGAAGGAACGTAGCCCAACGCTGGGAGCTGCACAAGGATCGCTACCAGCCAAAAACCTCCGCCAGCACCGCACTGGACCGAAAATCTCTCTCTCTCTCTCTCTCTCTCTCTCTCTCTCTCTCTCTCTCTCTCTCTCTCTCTCTCNCTCTCTCTCTCTCTCTCTCTCTCTCTCTCTCTCTCTCTCTCTCTCTCTCTCTCTCTCTCTCTCTTTCTCTCTCTCTCTCTCTCTCTCTCTCTCCCATCCATAAACCATGTGTGTTTTGAATTTTCACCACAGCAGCCCCTATCCCACCTGGATGAGCAGATTCAAAATCAAAGCATATTCAATGCTATTGCTGACAACGAAAGCCCTTGAGTTGAGACCACCCAACACTGAAACAGTTTCACCTCTATTGAACCCCTTTCTTCAGAAAGGGGTACCCCGAAGAAAGCAACATGGAGTATAGTAGAGGCATGCGAACCCCTTTCTTAATTGTGTGCACGTTTGCTTGCTTTGGGGAACCCCTTTCATTTGTTCTTGCAGCTCCTTCTTTACCGTGCCTCTCATGTACAAGGCTCGCCACTTCAATTGTCGTTGAGTGCGAGCTGCCCACATCCCCGTGTGCCATAACGGCCCGCTTCTACACTACGAAAGGAGGCAGACCAAAGGCGAAGGTATATATTCCTGTTCATTTCTTCTCAGATCTTCAACTTATATTTTGTCTGTTGTCTTACTGATTCTCATCCGTAGTACTAGTTACACAGAAGAGGAGGGAGGGAGGAAATGGGAGGTGGAGTTCAAACAGGGCTCTAAGCATTGACCGCTGGGGCAGACCACTCTAGAATGGTGCATGAGGCCAGTCAGTGTGTGGGTTGCATAAGATTTGAGGAGCCAGCATTGCCTACGGTAAGTGCCTATGGTAAGTGGCCACCTCTACAGACCGGGCAGGACCGGTTCGGGTGTGGCCTGGGGAAGCGCCGTATTCACTTCTTGCAGTCGCAGTTACTGCATCGAATGGCTCGGCGTAGACATCTGTCACAGGTTACGTGGCTCCGACATGCTGGTAACACAGAGGCACGTCGACCACAGTTGTAGAAGCATTGCCGTTCCAGCCCCCCCGTCAAAAAAAAAAACGGACATGACATGTCAGGGTGCCGTACACGAGTGCATTGTCGTTCCTGCCCCCCGTCTACAAATTTTGTGTGTGTGTGTGTGTGTGTGTGTGTGTGTGTGTGTGTGTGGAAACAACAAGAACAGTAGTACAGTCCTCTGGCTGCATAGCCGCTTGCCGCAAACCGCACCATTTTTCAACATGGGCGCCGCAAACGCACCCACTTTCTATCAGGATTTGAACTTTTGACCTGTCAACTACCGTCTTCCCCCGAACATAACGCACCCTAAAAATGAATGTATACAAGCTATATTGCCGGCCAGAAACAGCCAAAATAAGGGTGCGTTGTGTTCGGGGGAAGACGGTAGCAGCTACACGTGTGTGTACAATTCAGCTAGATCCAGATGGCCCTGCTTTTCATTCTTTCAGGAGAGTGAGTGGCTTGTCAGGCCCTTGATTTCAAGCCCCACCTATCTGGCCTTACCACCGCTCAGACGATGCAGATCGGGCATCAGCGCTCGATGGAAACACATCATCCTACGCAACTTCACCGAAAACCACAGGTTACAGCCAAACACGATCCAGAACACAAACATCGAGGAGTGCCCGACTTTAAAACCCAGCCGCCGAAATTAACATCAATCGGGCCTGTGACCGGCGGTAAGGAGGAAAAAGCAGCATGCCGCTCTAAGTGGGTTGCCCCAGCCAGCCAAAGAACGACGGGTAGATGTCCTCTCCAACCCGTTCGTCCTTATTACACTAGTGCCTTCCTTTCTCAGCACCTGCCGCCTACACTGCACTTGTGAAGCTGCGATGTCACCAGAAAGGCGGGAGGTTAAGACGCCTTGTGGTTCCTTTTTTTTTTTTTTTTTTTTTTTNTTTTTTTTTGACCATTTATCAATTTCTGCATGTCATCCCTTGAAAAGTGCAGGGGCCATTTTGCTAATTTGCCCTTCTGTGTATCGCTCCAATTTTAGTGGATGTCCCGAAGGGCAGACGCATTGTGGTCCTTACCTTGCCCTTCAAGGCTTCTTCTGTGCTGATTGGAGCTGGCTTGACGGCAGGGATTAGGGTGTAAAATCGATTTCAAGCGTCAACAAGCATGCCATCTCGTCGCAGCGCACTTTGCTCCTCAAACGGCATCTGAAGCAAGTTCTGCACTTCTTGAAGCACCACAAAACCTGGAAAACAAGCAAAACATCAAACAAACATTTTAGCAGAGGCAAGAAAGGGAAAAAAAAAAAAAAAAAAAAAAAAAAAAAGCAGGATTGCACCGCAAAAAAACATCTTCACAGCCCTAAAAATTCACCCAAATTCTCACCAAAAAGTCAGCCCTAAATTCACCCAAATTAGCACTAAAAGGTCCCTCGATGTTTCTCTTGGGGGTCAACTTCCACTCACGCTGCGACACTACACAATCCAGAATGCCCCGAAGAAGCCCATGGCTAAGACAGGCGCCCCCACTCACCTCAGTAACAAATGCCTTAACACTGGGTCAACCCTGGGTTAACCCTGGGTTAGCAAAGGATAAGGCCCCGTCCTGTGAGAGGCAAAGGGTCTGAGAAGCATAAAGGCGAGGTTGGACTCTTTATTGAAGTTTATTCATGGCAGTGATCTGACTAATTTGAGTGATGATGACACTTATACTCAACACACATTGTCAAGCTTAGTGTTCCATTTCCAAACAATTTCACACTGAAAAGATAGTAAAATCATTGGCCAGCTGCGTGCATATCGGCGAGCGGTTGGACCGCCTGGCCCACGGTGTTCTTGACAGAGGCGTGCTCTGCTCAAATGGGGACGTTGCAATCCATTCTGCCATAAGTCCGCATGTGAGGGAAGGCACACCACACAGGCACAGATTGAGAGAACGGCGGCAACCTGCTCCTTGTCGTCTACATCTATGCCAATTATGAGGATGCATTTGCCACACGTGTCTGCTCCTAACAGAGGCATCTTGAAGGTGTGAAGGCACTCACAAAGGCGTAAAATGCAGGTGTGAAGGCGTGCACACAGGCGTAGATTGCAGGTGTGAAGGCGCGCACACAGGCGTAGAATGCAGGTGTGAAGACACACACCGTGACACAGGCGCAGATTGAGAATGGAGGCAACCCACCAACTGGCCTACCGTGTTCACCCGAATAAAACGCCCCGTAATTATCGCTGCATCTGGACTGAAAGTTGTGCTAAATGCAGCTATAATGACCGGGTGTTCTTTTCGGGTGAAGACGGTAGCTCAGTTGGCAGGTACACCCCTGCACTGTTGAAATACAGACCTGATCTCGAACTCCACGGGAAGTGGGTGAGTAAAATACTTACTACAGTTATTCTGAATTACCTAGGGCCGGTCCGTTCGATGATGACATCTCAAGGCCATCGCCCTTTTTTAAAGAAAAGACGAATGGAGGCAGACTCCCCTCTTCTCCTTGTCCTTCTCCTTCTATGCCGATGATAAGGATGCATCTGAAACAGAGATGTGCACGCGCCCTTCTTACATCCAATGCCCCACCGATTCCGAAGTGCTTCGACAACTGTGTGGGATGCTGCGTTATGCGATTGCAAGGCTGGCATTGAGGTCAAGCACAAGCCTATGTTACTGCCGTCTTCACCCGAATAAAAAGTCTGGTCATTATGGCTGCATATGGACTGAAAGTTGTGCCAAATGCAGCTATGATGACCGGGCGTTCTATTCGGGTGAAGACGGTAGGAAAGTAAAACAAAGCACACTCTTCTTAGCACAGGGTAGTACGCGTGAAGTTCAGTAACTTCAAAATCATAAAAGAAGTTACCTGGCACACTGCAAACTCCCATGGCATATGGGCAGACAAAAAGAAAACAAACATAATACATATAGATTATTATATGATATATCGGCAAATAGAGCTGCCCGGTAAACGGTAGGCAGAGAGGGAGAAGAGGACAACAAACGAGGGAGCTGTGACAAACTGTTTCGTCGGAGTTTCACTGATACATGCCTAGTAGGGCAATGCATATGGAGCCAAGGATCCACAAAGTGATGAAAAGGACTCGAATGGACAATGCAGTGTCAGCAAAGCATCAACAAGCAATGTACATCCAGATACATATGAAAATAACACAATGTAGCGCAGCGGAAGACTCAAAGATATGACCTGACCTGTCAGATACTGACGCGACATCCCATCATACACCACACATGTGAGAGAGGGAGGAGGAACCGCATACATGGAAAAAAGGTCCCTCCTTGCACACGCAAATGGGGGAGATACCACGGATGAGAGATGGGGGGAGAGGTGAGACGAAGATGGAGGTGAGGGAGAACACCAAGATCGCGATAGCGAAGTCCAAAAATAGTCTCCCTGCCGAATGTCCAATCAAGGTCTGCCTCAAAAATGTCGAATCAGATCCTGGGCATCATATGTAACCTCTGCCTGTAACCTCTCTCCTTCTCTGTCTGAAAGAAGAAGAAGAAGAAGAAGAA